TTGTCAGTCCATGTGTTAACTAAGCTGGGGTTTTGGACACAGCATAGTAAACCCCACATGGCCTGGACCATTGCTCTTGGGTTTACATTTCTAAATCCAGTTCAGTATTTCACACTGAGTTGTCCAGAGAAGACCTTGTACCACCTTAATTTCATCCTTGCTTACTACTAGACATTTTGAGAGAGCCAAAGTAACTGCAGTTCCTGAGTAAAAACAGCATCCATAAAAGGAGCTATGTAGCGAATATCCTCGTTTAGACCTCAGTCTTCCTTCTTGAAAGTTCTTAATCTTTCAACAACGCTCTGGAGTAGACCAAGAAATACTTGTCAGTGACATAAAACTGGGAATGAGTGGTTGAGGTTCCAACCTTCATTTCAATAATTTATTTGACTGTTGGGGTTGTGCATTGATGTCAGATTAAAGAGACAATGGTTCACCCATTAATGTCTTAACAAGTGTTTACAAACCTTTGAAGGAGTAGTCAGCTCAGCCATTTCAAATGAACTCACAAATGTGGGGTACCCGAGGCTCCCCATATCACAGCATGTGGAAGGTGTTGCAAAGGAGGACTGAAGACTGAATTAAGACTCAACACCAGCAGGTGTGTTGGGGGGAGGGTGCCGAGTGAGGTTTGCAAAGCCTAACATTCTGCAGTAAAAGATCCCCCAGAGAGATATGAACAGAGCAGTGGGGGCTTAACCAGGAGAAAACCGTGTGTCACAAAACGCCTTTTCTCTCTTATCCAAAGTGACTATATTTTGGGGTTTAGCAGAACTGAACAGTGGGACTATAGTTTCATTAAGTACGGTTTTGTAACATGCCGTGAGTTCTCATCTCTCCTCTGTTTCCAACTGCCTCAGTGTTCTGGAAGTCTTGAAGGTCATAAGGATCTTGTCATCTGAGTTCCTTGTCATTTGTTGAGGCGGTGGCAGTTCTATGTCATCTGATTTAGTTTTAAATACAAATGTTTAGTTAGAAGTTTTCATTTTCTGCCCAGGTTCTGTTGAATACATCCAGTGATAGGCTGATGCTTGTTCAACAAAGTGAAGTAATGCACCCACTTTGTTTACATACCAGACCTGTACTTTCTGGTTTTAGACTGAAAACATTGTAGACCATAAGTAAAAGTGAATGTTAGCAAATCAATTTATCATTGGCCTTTCCCATGGTCCAATTTATTTGGCAATAGCTAAGGTACAGTATCTAAAATGTATTGCAACAACTTACATACCTTACAGGTGCTAGGTAATCTAGCTTATTTCACCATTAGTTAAGTCTTTCTTACAAGCTTACTATTAGCATTTCCCAAGGAAACTTTCATATCTCAAAGTTGCACCAACAGATGCACTAATTGATTGGACTCAGGAGTATTTACCCAGGATGTACCTGTTTCCATAAAACCTTTTTTTTCCTTCTATCCAGAGATCTACCACAGAGATTAGAGTTTGAAGTCAGGGAACCAGAAATCTCTTTCATTAAGTATTAAAACTTTAATGTGTATTTCATCAGAAGGAAGAAATGAATGAGCAGGAAATCCACGGAGATGAGTCAAATTCATGGTCTGAAAGGCGGAAGACAGACAGGGGAGGCGGAGGTGACTCGTCTCTGCTCTCACGGCTCCTCAGGGACACATTTGGGACGCGTACTGTGATTCCACTGCCATTAGAAGCTTCCTCAGTCATTTAAGGAACGCAGATAATTGAATACTTTGACTCTTAGTCCTGTGTAAGAGTCCTCTAAATGAGCACTTCTGTTCTTACTTAACAGTTCCACAATGTAGCCACTGTAAATTGAAATCGTCTCTCAGCAAAATGGAATTACCCAGCTTATTGAGACGTAGGGTCCAAAGCAGTTCTAGTGGCAAAACGGCACAACTGAGAATCATTCTTCAAGGCTCAGATCAGGGGCACAAGGGCCATCTAGACTGTCAGATGGTGTGCTTGGATCTTGCAGGAAGCCTCTAGAAACAACTGTGTTTTTATTCCTGTTGACTTATCTTTATAGACAAAGGAAACTCAAGAAACTCTACAAGCAAAGAGACATCAGAAAGACAATAAAATCAAACTTAATGAGGTACGAACAAAAATCCGTTGAAAAGTGAAAACTGTGTATGTCAAAATGATAGATTTAAAGTTACAGGAGTTGCAACTTTGTGGATTTACTAGTCCGAACTGATTTTAATGGATTCTTTGTGATTTTCTGTTTGTAAAACTATGGCCTGTTCAGACATTGACAGTTTGTCTTCTTTCCTTTCTTTCCTTCAGGAGGCCTCTGACTTTGACCCCCCCACCCCTGCAAGTGGAATAAATTGCTGAAAGCTGGCATTTTCTGTCTGTTGGCTTTTTGTAGATGAGCTGTCTTAGTTGAGGTGCATTCCCTTTCTATCTAACTAATGCAGGCTTTGTATCATTGAATTCTGCCAAATGTCATTTTCTTCATCAATTGACATGATCATGTAGATTTTACCTCATTCTCTCAGTGTGGGGAATCTTGCGTACTGATTGGCATCTGTTGAGCCAGCCTTGCATTGCTATGGTAAATACAACTTTACCATGTCAGCCTTTTGCAGTGCGCTGCTCTCTTTAATTTACTAGTATTTTCTTGACTATCCTTTTTCATGAAAGATATTGAAGCATAGTTTTCTCTCCTCCCTCCCTCCCTCCCTCCCTCCTTCCCTTCCTTCCTTCCTTAGTCCTTCCTTCCTTCCTTCCTTCCTTTCATTATTTTTTGTTAGATTGTCAGTTCAAATAGTTGAAAATGTTCAGAATAAAATTAGCATACAAAAAGTAATATTAAAATAAAAATATTAAATAGAAAATAATCTGAAATAGGAAAAAATACCCCAATTGTAATAGCTTTAATAATGAAATGTTTTATATTTAGTATAATGAAAGGGATCAAAATCCCTTCAATGGTAATTAGAAAAGACAAATGAAGAAAGTCTAAGTGGACCTGCATACAGATGAAGGCAACTTGGGAAGACTCAACACTGTTAAAACCAGCATGCTTCCCTGAGGCGTCTACACCTTCAGCACAGTCTCATCAAAACACCAATGCCATGTCTCCCAGAACTACAGAAACAATCATGAAAGGGTTCTAGAACCACAAAGAAACGGTGTGCCCTGTCTAAGCTAAAGAGCAAAGCAAGCAGGAGGGCTTCCCTCCTCTTCCTAGAAGTTGATTATGAGGCACCAGCAATCAAACGGCCATGTGCTAGCATTTAAAAAGGTGAATAGACCAGTGCAAATGGTTTTCAACAAAGATGCTGAGGCACAGTGAGAAAACAACACTTTTCACTAAATGATCCATGGGGAATCCATTGGTATCAACAGGCAGTAAAATGATACTGTGCCCCATATCAGTCATACGAGTCAACTCACAAGACTTAAATGTAAGACCTGCAACTATGACACTAGCAAAGAAACCACAGGGAAAATGTTGCCTTAGTACAGGCAGAGCTTTGTGGTTGAGGCCCTGAGTCCACAGGAAACAGAAGCAAATTGGACAAAATGTCAAACTTCCAGACAACAAAACAATCAGGTAGCAAAGTGAAGAGGTGTGTTACAGAGAGAGAAGACTTGTAAACAAACAGTGCCTGTCCAGGGGACTGCTGTCCACAAAATATTAGGATTATCAGAAACACAGTATCAAAAAGAGCCTAGGGCACGGGGTACAGCTCAGTGGAAGAGTCCCTGCCCAGCATCATAGGTGCTTGGTTCCACCCAGTGAACCATAATGGAGCAAACAGCAATTACAGTAACCCCAAAATAGCTTGGAAAAAACAGGCAAGATCCTAGGAGCCTGTAAGACTGTTTCCATATGGTCATGCACCACCCCTGGCTCTTACAGCTTTTCCACCCCCTCTTTGACAATGGTCCCTAAGCCCCGGGTAGGTGAAGTTTAAGATGAAAGTCCTATCCAGGGACACACACTCTCCAGTCCCTTATTCTCTAGACTTTGGCCAGTTTGGCCTTTGGTGTTTATCACTCCCTGTTGCATGAGGAAGTTGCATGAAAGTTGAGGCATGCATTAGTGCTCTCTCAACCCCTTGTTACACTATTTTCCATGAGCCTAGGTATGTGAATTGCATTGTAGATGTGTCACTTTGGGTTGGGGATTAGCAATAGTGACAGCATGCACAAGACCCATGCAAACTTAATCAGACACAAATCAGAATATAACTGGAGAGATGGGCAAGAAGCCCCACCCTCAACTGAGGAATTACTGCAGCTGATCACTGCTGGGTGTGGGAGAGTTGATCCTCTTTAAGGGAGTGATGCCAGACAAACTGAACAGGCTCCAGTGCATGAAGTCACATCTCACACCCAGAGACATTCGGGTTCACAAAGTTGACTTGATAGACCTTAACATATGTGACAGAATGCTTGAAATCCTGTGGACAGGCTGTGGGGTGGTACAGATAGGGAGGAGGTCTTAGACGTGATTAAGATGCATTGTATGAAACTCATAACAATTTGATAAAAACTATGCATTGAAGGAAAAAATGGCTTAGGACCTCTGGAAGAGTTGTACACACTTTTAATTAGAGAGCCATCTCTGCAGTTCCAATCAACACACTACATTATCTCACAGTGTAATATCACCTTTCAAAGTATGATATAAAACTATATTATGGGTGAAAATATTTTTTCTTTCTTTTGACCTCCATTAATAAAAGCCCCTTATGCAATATCTCACCTAAAGTTAATACCAATGTTCTTAGTATTTTATACTTCTTTTATTTCTAGGTACCAAGTGTTTGTGTAACATTAATATACTAGTACTTGAGACAAATACAGCCCAGTATCCCACATGCTGGATGAAGCAGGGTTTCTAGTGTCCTAGTGGAAAATACACAAAAAAAAATCAGTAAAGAAAGGTATAAAATATTCCTCTAAGGTCAATGAGGAAGGCCCTTGGGACAGTGTTTGAGGGGGGTGGTCGCAGTGATGTGGTGTTTTAAAATCTCACAGGCATAGAGGCAGGGAAAAGGGAGCCAACCTTTTGAAGATGAATTGGAATAGTGTTACAAGCAGTGCAAAGTGAGTAAAGGCCAAGTGGCTGGTGCAGAGTTAGGTGGAGAGTGTTGTGCGATGAGGTCCACTGATAAGGACTTTGGATTTTCTTCATGTCATGAGAGATTATGTCAGGCCAGAAGAGTTTTTAGGCAGGATATTGACATAATCTGATTCATGTTGTCTAATATATGATTCTTCCTGCTGCTTGTAAAATTGATGGTAGGTGGATGAGTGAGGCAACAGACAGGAACAGCCATGGCAGTCACCAGGAGATATGGCAGCGATGGACCAGGATGCCGACAGGAGTCCTCAGCTTGTCATCAAAGTGTGAGAACCAGGGTCTCAAACCTTGCAGATGGGCGTGGTGGAGCAAAGGATAATCACTGTGTGTTAGAAAGACAGTGAACAGAGACGGGAGATCTCAGATTGGAGGAAGTAGAAAGAATTTAGGGTTGGGATGGATAGCTATTTGGAGTTTATTTTTGGAATGATTTTTCTACATATAGGTCACATAGACCAAGCCAATGGGAAGACAGTCTGTGCTGGGCATCATCAGTGTGTGGATGGAAATTACAACCTGAGGAGAGACACTTACTTAGCACATGAGTAAGCAGTTATGAGAAGTAAATTAGTTATGGGGAATTCCAGAAATCTGTATCCCACAAGAGGAAAAGATCCCAAGGACCGATGGACAACGGGTCCTATAGTGAGGGAGAAAGTAGTCCAGGCAATGGGAATTCCTGGGGCAAACTCAGCAGCTGTGACTGAGGGTGTGATCCACTGAGCTGCCAGGGGCACTCCTCTGTGGGCAGTTGCCCTGAGCTTTGCTGACACATTGAATTATTTCCTTGTGGGACATGGTGGAGCACTCCTTTAATCTCAGCATTCAGAAGGCAGAGGCGGGCAGAGCCCTGTGAGATTGAGGCCAGCCTGGTCTACATAATGCTTCCAGGCCAGCTGGGGCTACAGGGAGACCCTGTCTCCAAAAAAAATTGAGGAAATATCATTTCCTTGTGTAAGCAAATGAACTTCATGACATGCCACTCATTTTCGTTTCCATTTAATGACACCGTTGACTCTTTTCTTCCTTTACAAATTTAGAGTTTTACATCACATTAAGTAGTGAAGCTTAAAACTTAGTAAGAATATGAAAAACCAGAGTCACTCTCCCTTGGAAGTCCCTTCTAGGTGTCCTGACGTGTATAGCTTCCAAGTCACAAGTTAGATCCAAATAATTTAAAGGGAAATTGTACCGGCTCCTAGTGCTTTCATTACTGCTTTGCTCATTAGTTTTGTGATTTTTATATAGTAGTTCCATCATATTTACATCCTGTCCCATTTCTGCCCGATTTAATGTAATCTCTTGTGTTTACCATATGGCCTATAGAGTCTGGTTTGCATCCCAAGCTTTCCTTCAGTGTGGATCCATCCACTAGACCCAACAGTCCCATCCCTGTACACACTCCTTCCTCCTCCCTGCAGCCTTCAATTGCCAAAGTTTCTTAGGTCGGGTTGGGGTTTCTTACCCACTTCCCCATGGCTATGCTGGGATTTTGTCTGGTTTGAGTTTGCATAGGTCTTGAATTCATGAGTAAATGACCAGCTGTCTGGAAAACTCAAGTTTCCCTGTGGTCCTTCATCCCCTCTGGCTCTTATACTCTTTCTGCCTCTTCTTGCACAATGTTCCCTGAGCCTTGGGAGACAGAAGTTTGATATGGATGTCCTATTCAACAATAAGCACTCACGTTGGTCAACTGTGGCATTATTTTCTGTTTTGTGAGTCTTTTTATTCTAAAAAAAATCCTCTTAATTAGGTTAGTCCTGCTCTTGATGTATTATGCCTGAATTTCCCTGGTAAAGTCAGACAGAAGGAGTAATTCTTCATGACGACTCTTCAAAAGTTACCCTCACGTTGCCTTCTGTATCTATGTCACATATTCCTACCCACATGGGTAGTGACTTTGGGTCATCCTACAATTTGTGACATTTCTTTGGAAAACTTGCCCACCAAAGTAGAAAATGGGGGAAGTAGGATTTCCACTTCTCCTTCCACAGCCGTAAAAGTGTCATGTTGTTGACGTTCTGGCCACATGAAGGTGATGAAAAAGACGATGGTGAGGGTGGCAACGGAGCTGATGGAGATGATGTCAACAACATCTGTGGTGATGAGTCTGCGCTGATGACGACAATGTCCTGTGATGACGACAATGTCTGTGATGACGACAGTGACTGTGATGACGACAGAGTCGGTGATGACGACAATGTCTGTGGTGACGACAGTGTCTGTGATGACGACAGTGTCTGT